AGTTTCTATGATTCAGGTGGCATCGCAAGGAAGCTGCCTAGCATCCTTCAGGTGCTAGGATAAAGGTGGCTGCCTAATGAAGCCACCCAGTGTTCTTTGGTTGCTAGGATGCAGGCAGCTTCCTAATGAAGCCACTTAGTGTCCTGTGCCACAGGACACTTCTCAATGAAGCCACTGTGTGTCCTTCAGTTTCTATGATTCAGGTGGCATCGCAAGGAAGCTGCCTAGAATCCTTCAGGTGCTAGGGTAAAGGTGGCTGCCTAATGAAGCCACCTAGTCTTCTTTGGTTGCTAGGATGCAGGCAGCTTCCTAATGAAGCCACTTAGTGTCCTAGGCCACAGGACACTTCTCAATGAAGCCACCAAGTGTCCTCCAGTTTCTATAATTCAGGTGGCATCGCAAGGAAGCTGCCTAGCATCCTTCAGGTGCTAGGACAAAGGTGGCTGCTTAATGAAGCCACCTAGTGTTCCTTGGTTGCTAGGATGCAGGCAGCTTCCTAATGAAGCCACTTAGATTCCTAGACCACAGGACACTTCACAATGAAGATACCTGGCACCCTTCTGTTGCTAGGACACAGACGGCTTCTCAAGGAAGCTGGAAGCTCTCTTCAGTTGCAAGGATGCAGGTGGTTTTTCATTGAAGCCACCTAACAACCTTTAGTCGCAGTTCCTAGGATTCAAGGAAGCTGCCTAGGAGCCTTCCATTGCTAGCATCCTTCAGTTGCTAGGATGCAGGTGGCTCCTGAAGAAGCCGCCAAGTGTCTTTCTATTGTAAGGGTGCAAGAACCTCCTCAGTTAAGTCTCCTGGCATTTTTCTATTGCTAGCACACAGGTGGCTTTGTATTATAGTGTCTTTCCATTGCTAGGAGGCAGGTGGCTTCTCAAGAAAGCCACCTAGCATCCTTCAGTTGCTGTGATGCAAGCAGTTATTCAAGGAAGCTGCCCGTTGTTTTTCTAGTGCTATGACACAGGCTGATTCTCAGTTAAAGTAGTAGAACTATAGGCAAAAATGTTTTTTTTTTTTTTCATTTTGGATAGAACAAGGGATGGTTATAGCCCCTGTCAGATTTTTTATTTTTACCATCTGTTTCCCATTGCTGATATTTGCCTTCATTTCCTGTCCCATAGCCAAACAGGAAGTGAGAGTAAATCTCTGCAAATTAAGAGAATTCTTTGGGGACCCCCAGGTCACCAGAAATGGTATCCCCATTGGAAAATTTCCCCTATGTTCTTTTCTTTGGACAATCCAAAATGTAGGATTTTATTTTGCTTTCAGTGATAATGGTAAAAAAGGAGAGGGTGGATCTCCCTAATGAGGGCACAGACAGAAATAAAAAGTGACAGGGGTTCTAATCCCTCTGTACTCTATCCAGAATTAAAAAAAAAGAAGAGTTTTGACTTTAGTTATACTTTAATCCGCCTAGTATACGCTCATTTCTGTGACACAGGTAGCTTCTCAAGGAAGCCTCCTAGCATCCTTCAGTTGCTAGGATGCAGTCGGCTACTCAAGAAAGCCGACTTGCACCTTTCCATTGCTAGGACACAGGTGGCTACACAAGAAAGCCGACTTGCACCTTTCCATTGCTAGGACGCAGGTGGCTACACAAGAAAGCCGACTTGCACCTTTCCATTGCTAGGACGCAGGTGGCTACACAAGAAAGCCAACTTGCGCCTTCCATTGCTAGGACGCAGGTGGCTACACAAGAAAGCCAACTTGCGCCTTCCATTGCTAGGACGCAGGTGGCTACACAAGAAAGCCGACTTGCGCCTTCCATTGCTAGGACACAGGTGGCTACACAAGAAAGCTGACTTGCGCCTTCCATTGCTAGGACACAGGTGGCTACACAAGAAAGCCAACTTGCAGCTTTCCATTGCTAGGACGCAGGTGGCTACACAAGAAAGCCGACTTGCGCCTTCCATTGCTAGGACACAGGTGGCTACACAAGAAAGCTGACTTGCGCCTTCCATTGCTAGGACACAGGTGGCTACACAAGAAAGCTGACTTGCGCCTTCCATTGCTAGGACACAGGTGGCTACACAAGAAAGCCGACCTGCACCTTTCCATTGCTAGGACACAGGTGGCCACACAAGAAAGCCGACTTGCACCTTTCCATTGCTAGGACGCAGGTGGCTACACAAGAAAGCCAACTTGCACCTTTCCATTGCTAGGACGCAGGTGGCTACACAAGAAAGCCGACCTGCACCTTCCATTGCTAGGACACAGGTGGCCACACAAGAAAGCCGACTTGCACTTTCCATTGCTAGGACGCAGGTGGCTACACAAGAAAGTTGACTTGCACCTTCCATTGCTAGGACGCAGGTGGCTGCACAAGAAAGTTGACTTGCGCCTTCCATTGCTAGGACGCAGGTGGCTACACAAGAAAGCCAACTTGCAGCTTTCCATTGCTAGGACGCAGGTGGCTACACAAGAAAGCCGACTTGCACCTTTCCATTGCTAGGACGCAGGTGGCCACACAAGAAAGCCGACTTGCGCCTTTCCATTGCTAGGACGCAGGTGGCTACACAAAAAGCCAACTTGCGCCTTTCCATTGCTAGGACGCAGGTGGCTACACAAGAAAGCCGACTTGCGCCTTTCCATTGCTAGGACACAGGTGGCTACACAAAAAGCCGACTTGCGCCTTTCCATTGCTAGGACACAGGTGGCTACACAAGAAAGCCGACTTGCACCTTTCCATTGCTAGGACACAGGTGGCTACACAAGAAAGCTGACTTGCACCTTTCCATTGCTAGGACGCAGGTGGCTACACAAGAAAGCTGACTTGTGCCTTTCCATTGCTAGGACGCAGGTGGCTACACAAGAAAGCTGACTTGCGCCTTTCCATTGCTAGGACGCAGGTGGCTACACAAGAAAGCTGACTTGTGCCTTTCCATTGCTAGGACGCAGGTGGCTACACAAGAAAGCCAACTTGCGCCTTCCATTGCTAGGACACAGGTGGCTACAATCAAGCCCCTAGGCGTCCAGACTGCTTCTACAAACATTGGTGAAAGAATGGGTCGCTCTCAGGAGCTCAGTGACTCCAAGCGTGGTCCCGTGATAGGTGGTCACCTGTGTAATAAGTCCATCCGTGACATTTCCCGGCTACTAAATATTCCACGCTCAACTGTTTGTGTTATCAGGGGTGTGGAAATTTTTGAAAAAAACTACTTGTCCAGAGACTAAATCGGTGTCCCAATCTACTTGTCCAGATAAAAATTTTTTTTTTAAATAAAACTGTATTTAAATCTGCTTTAAGTAATGTCTGCGGCTTTTAAAAACAAAAGGGGCTCTATGGTGACTTAAACGTTTAATATTCGTAACATTGCGCTGTATATCTCCTCCTCCCTTCTCTGCCTGTATCCAGCACCGCCCCCGAGGACTAGCAGGGAGGAGAGAGACCTTGCAGTGTAATGAGCACTGATTGGCTGCTCATCAGGAAAGGGGAGTGTCGGGCTTATCCTTTATCCCTTTTGCTGCCAGAGCCATTTTTGCTTTTTTTGCACACATTTAAAAAAATCATTTAAGGCCTGAAGATGACACAAAGCCCCCAAACATGATATTTTTTTCTGAAATCAGAGATCCAAGAGAATAAAATAGCGGTAGTTCCAAGTTTTTATGTCACACGATATTACCACAAAGGTCTATGAATGGCAAAATATCAGTAAAAAATACATTTAAGTTAATTTTAGGGCACAAAAAGTAATAAATTATCCAAAATTGTTTGTAGAATATAAAAGATGAGGTTGCAGCGAGTAAATAGATATCCAACATGTCAAACCTTAAATTTGCGTGTGCTTGTGAAATGGCAACAAACTCTAGTACCCTATATTTTCTATAGGTGGCGCTTTTAAAGCCCCTTATAGGTCATCAGTATAGTGTACGGAGGAGGTCTGCTGCTAGAATTATCGCTCTCATTCTGGCGTGCGCGGTGATATGTAACATGTGTATTGCAGTCAATGTTATCATGTGTAGGCGCCCCAGTGCATGCTTTTTCGTTTGGACATGCATACATATGTGGGGGTTGGGGACCTTGAAAAATTGGGGGGGGGGGGGGGGGGGGGGCTTATATGCTTGGGTGTAACTTCCAGTTTTCATTTTTTTTTTTTTTTTTACTTAATGTTTTTTTTTTTTATCACATAGGGGACAAAAATTCCCCATATGTGATGATTTTTGGTGACAGGTTCTCTTTTTTGAGACATCCACAGTTTAAAAGACCCTGGATGCCTTCCCTGTACTCCACTGAATGTTATGAAGTGCACATCGCACCGCATTACATTCTTTCCCGGCCTCAATGACCGGGAATCTGTCGATGGGGACCCGGAAGTGACGTCACATCACTTCCAAGTCAGGACAAGAAGGGGAGGGGAGTGGAAGTGTCTGCTCTCCTCCCTCCCCCATCCAGCCAGCACCCACTGAACCAGTCCTGGGCCTGCAGATGGGCAAGCAGCAGAGCCGGACATATAGCAGGGAGAGGCTGGCACTGTGGTCTGTGTGGAAGCAATCGGGCGACAGCGCTGCCACCCGAATGCTTCTACCTGACTTTTGGACTTTTTCCTTTATATAGCAAAAAACAAAATCCCAGTGGTGAATAAATACCACCAAAATAAAGTTTTATCTGTCTCAAAAAAAATGCTAAAAAATTCATATGGGTACAACTGTTGCATGACCGCGCAATTGTCATTCAAAGTGTGATAGCGCTGAAAGCTGAAAATTGGCCTGGACAGGAAGGGGGTGAAAGCGTCATGACTGGAAGGGGGTGAAAGCGTCCTGACTGGAAGGGGGGTGAAAGCGTCCTGACTGGAAGGGGGTGAAAGCGTCCTGACTGGAAGGGGGGTGAAAGCGTCCTGACTGGAAGGGGGGTGAAAGCGTCCGGACTGGAAGGGGGTGAAAGCGTCCTGACTGGAAGGGGGTGAAAGCGTCCTGACTGGAAGGGGGTGAAAGCGTCCTGACTGGAAGGGGGTGAAAGCGTCCGGACTGGAAGGTGGTGAAAGCGTCCGGACTGGAAGGTGGTGAAAGCGTCCGGACTGGAAGGTGGTGAAAAAGCGTCCGGACTGGAAGGGGGTGAAAGCGTCCGGACTGGAAGGGGGGTGAAAGCGTCCGGACTGGAAGGTGGTGAAAGCGTCCGGACTGGAAGGGGGTGAAAGCGTCCGGACTGGAAGGTGGTGAAAGCGTCCGGACTGGAAGGTGGTGAAAGCGTCCGGACTGGAAGGGGGTGAAAGCGTCCTGACTGGAAGGGGGGGTGAAAGCGTCCGGACTGGAAGGGGGGGTTAAAGCGTCCGGACTGGAAGGGGGGGTGAAAGCGTCCGGACTGGAAGGGGGTGAAAGCGTCCGACTGGAAGGGGGTGAAAGCGTCCGAACTGGAAGGGGGTGAAAGCGTCCGGACTGGAAGGTGGTGAAAGCGTCCGGACTGGAAGGTGGTGAAAGCGTCCGGACTGGAAGGGGGTGAAAGCGTCCGGACTGGAAGGGGTGAAAGCGTCCGGACTGGAAGGGGGTGAAAGCGTCCGACTGGAAGGGGGTGAAAGCGTCCGGACTGGAAGGTGGTGAAAGCGTCCGGACTGGAAGGTGGTGAAAGCGTCCGGACTGGAAGGGGGGTGAAAGCGTCCGGACTGGAAGGGGGTGAAAGCGTCCGGACTGGAAGGGTGGTGAAAGCGTCCGGACTGGAAGGGGGTGAAAGCGTCCGGACTGGAAGGTGGTGAAAGCGTCCGGACTGGAAGGTGGTGAAAGCGTCCGGACTGGAAGGGGTGAAAGCGTCCGGACTGGAAGGGGGTGAAAGCGTCCGGACTGGAAGGGGTGAAAGCGTCCGGACTGGAAGGGGGTGAAAGCGTCCGGACTGGAAGGGGGTGAAAGCGTCCGGACTGGAAGGGGTGAAAGCGTCCGGAAAAGGGGTGAAAGCTGGAAAAGGGGTGAAAGCGTCCGGACTGGAAGGTGGTGAAAGCGTCCGGACTGGAAGGGGTGAAAGCGCGTCCGGACTGGAAGGTGGTGAAAGCGTCCGGACTGGAAGGGGGTGAAAGCGTCCGGACTGGAAGGGGGTGAAAGCGTCCGGACTGGAAGGGGGGTGAAAGCGTCCGGACTGGAAGGGGGGTGAAAGCGTCCGAAGTCGAAGTGGGTGAAAGTGGTTAAAAGAAAAAAAAAAAGTCAAATAGAGGCTTGCTGAATTCTGTTGATGTCATTCAGAAATGGCAGTTGAGGTTCATATTCGTGATGCACACGGCTTGCCTCATCTTTCTTTGAACACACAAATAAGTAAAGATGTGGCATTCATCAGACTGGAGAATCCTCCCCCCCCCCCCCGACTCCCTTCCTATCCCCATTGGGTAGATTTTAGAAGACGAAGATGAAAATGGAGTCAGACTGTGCCAGAGCTCTGCGTTATGTGGTGTCTGTTCACTTCAACGTCTCCTAACCGTTTCTTTCAGCCGCTGTGTAGTTATGTACCTTGTACTTCACTATAGATTACCAGGACCACAAAGAATTCTCCTGTAAGCTCCAATCAGATGTCGTCTCGGGTTCAGAGTCCCTCAACATATGTCTCGGAATATTCTATGGCTGTAGTGCGGCAATATAAAACGAATTCGGCATTAATAGTAAATCGCAGTTGCGTTTCCAGATCAGAAATAAAATTCTTTTTTTATTTCTTTTTTTTTTTTTTTTTAAAGATACAAAACAGTTGCAAACAAAAAAGTATACAACCCTGGGCAACATGAACTGATAAAAAAAATGGCGTGATAGTAAATTGTGGATGTCGGGCAATGCGCATTTTTAGAAATAGGTCAACAAAGGAAACCCAAACTGTTTCTGTCAGTATGGGTGTAACCACTTGCCACCCGCCCGCAGTAGATTTACTGTGAGCCACTCACCATGGGGACCTTTCCGCTTTTTGGGCACATATGCTCGTGGCCCCCTGTGATTGGACACAGCATGAGTTTATCAGCAGTTTCAGCTGAAATCTGCTGATTGGCTGTGGCCAGTCACAGCAGAGAGTCCTGTGTTTTCAAACACAGTGATTTGACGGTTTCTTCTCCCTGAAAAGCAGGGAGGAAAAAACTGCCAGATCTGAGAGCAAAAGCAATACACTTTACACTTGTTAGGCACACGATTATCCCTTGCTGATTGGCTGTGGCCAGTCACAGCAGAGAGTCCTGTGTTTTCAAACACACAGAACAGTGATTTGACGGTTTCTTCTCCCTGAAAAGCAGGGAGGAAAAAACTGCCAGATCTGAGAGCAAAAGCAATACACTTTACACTTGTTAGGCACATGGTTATCCCTTGCTGATTGGCTGTGGCCAGTCACAGCAGAGAGTCCTGTGTTTACAAACACACAGAACAGTGACTTGACGGTTTCTTCTGAAAAGCAGGGAGGAAAAAACTGCCAGATCTGAGAGCAAAAGCAATACACTTTACACTTGTTAGGCACACGGTTATCCCCTGCTGATTGGCTGTAGCCAGTCACAGTAGAGAGTCCTGTGTTTACAAACACACAGAATAGTGATTTGACGGTTTCTTCTCCCTGCAGGGAGGAAAAAAACAGCCAGATCTGAGAGCAAAAGCAGTACACTTTACACTTGTTAGGCACACAGTTATCCCCTGCTGAATCCTGCTGATTGGCTGTGGCCAGTCACAGCAGAGAGTCCTGTGTTTTCAAACACACAGAACAGTGATTTGACGGTTTCTTCTGAAAAGCAGGGAGGAAAAAACAGCCAGATCTGAGAGCAAAAGCAATACACTTTACACTTGTTAGGCACACGGTTATCCCTTGCTGATTGGCTGTGGCCAGTCACAGCAGAGAATCCTGTGTTTTCAAACACACAGAACAGTGATTTGACAGTTTCTTCTGAAAAGCAGGGAGGAAAAAACTGCCAGATCTTAGAGCAAAAGCAATACACTTTACACTTGTTAGGCACACGGTTATCCCCTGCTGAAACCTACTGATTGGCTGTGGCCAGTCACAGCAGAGAATCCTGTGTTTACAAAACACACAGAACAGTGATTTGACGGTTTCTTCTCCCTGAAAAGCAGGGAGGAAAAAACAGCCAGATTTGAGAGCAAAAGCAGTACACTTTACACTTGTTAGGCACACAATTATCCCCCTCATTACCCCTTGACATTAACCTCTTCCCAGCCACTGTCATTCGTACAGTATTAACACTGATAACTGGCACTATGGAAGTCAGTGTCAGCGCCAGATTGCCCGCAACACTATCACAGTAACTGTCACGTACCTGATTGAGGAGGGAGTCCTCTTACCACTCCCACTCGGGACCCCTGGCTAAACCGAAGGCACCGAGCCAGGAGGGGCACGATTGCCTGACGGGTCTGCGGTGACAGCTGGCAGGTGATGACCCGGAAGACCAGGATGCAGGTCGGTTGTGGATGCAGGTGAGCGGGGCGCAGCAACAGGAAGATATAGCGGAGGTTAGGACAACCGTGGGCAGCTGGCAGCCAGAGATAGTCACAGGCAGGAAAGGTAGCAGTGTCAGACAAGCCGGTCAGGATCAATCAGGAAGATCAGATACAGAGGAGCAGACAAGCGGATAGTCAAGGGATGAGCTGGGTTGTTCAATTGTAGTCAGGTCAAATCAGGTAGGTAACAGGAATCAGGATACAAGCACAGAACGTAGTAGACCAGAAGGCACCATTCTAAGTGCAACAGGGGATTAAACAGCCTGCCTGTGCACGCCGAAGCGTACACGCAACCGCGTGTGCATGCGCACCGGCCAAGCTGAGGGTACCCGGCGTTGTCGCATAGATGTGCGCCGACACGAAGCTTCCTTACCCTGACAGTAACACTTTAATCGCGAGCTCCGGAGGGTTTTCTCCCTTTATGACCAGGCCATTTTTTGCTAATCGGCACTGCATTTCTTTCACTGGCAATTGTGCGGTCATGCAACACTGTATGCAAATGAAATTTATATCACAATTAGAGCTTTCTTTTGGTGGTATTTGATCTCCACTGGGCTTTTTATTTTTTATTATATAAATGAAAGAAAAAAAACAATATTTTTTACTTTGTGCTATAAAACATATTACATATTACAACACATAACTGATACTTTGTGGGAATTGACTGCTACGGACATCTCTAGTGACACTAATACAGTGATAGTATTATACACTGTGACTGTACTAATGACACTGATTGGGAAGGGGTTAACATCAAGGGCAATCAAGAGGTTACTTGTGTGCCTAACAATGTGTGCTGCTGTTTTCTATAGATCACTTTGTTTCTTTTCCCTGCTTTGCAGGGAGAAGAAACATAGTGATCTTTCCCTCTGTACAGAGCCATGTGTTGTTTGTCAACACAGGACTCTGGGCTGTGATTGGACACAGCCAATCAGCAGGTCTCAGTCATTAATCATTGGCTGGGATCTGCTGACAAACACCTGCTGTGGCAAATCACAGCGGGAGTCAACAGGCGAGGGGCAGGCAAATGTTCCTGAAACCTGCAAACAGGCAGCTACGTACAGGTACATGCTGTGCCTGTAGGAGCCGCCCCATCGCTGATCGCCATTACTATATAGTGTCTGTATGGATCAGTATTGTGATCATGATCAAAATTATACTAGTGTCCCCCATAGTATAATACCCCCCAAAAAATTAGTTTGGTTTTTTACCAAATACATTTTGGCCTAAATTTATGAAGACATTTGATTTTTATATCGGATTTGAATAACATTTCAGGGGGGTTCAAAATGTTTGGTGTTTTTTTTTTGTTTCTGTGATAAAAAATAAAACCCCAGTGGTGATTGTATCCGATATACATATAAATACAGAGAGCAATAACACAGCAAAGAGGTAACAGAAAGAAGTTTAGAGAGGTAGAGTACTTGCGAAAAGTCCTGGGTTAAGCAGATCAAGTTTCAGAGCAAAAGGGCACCGTCTCCCAAGTTGGTTCTGATGTTAAAAGGGAGAATTCTTCAACTTCCACCTTCTCCTTAGGCCTGACAGCCTATTTTGTATTCCCCCAGCAGGGGGTGTCGCTGAAGCCAAGGACCAATGCCTCATTTGGGGAGGGGTGTCTAGGCAGAGACCCAAGCTAGAACCAAAATCTCTCATAGCTTATATTTTGGCTCATAACTTTTCCTAGGCACAAGTAACATTCCACCCGCAGGTAGATTAATATGCAAACACATCTGCGGAACGGTTAGATATGAAATATGAAATACATACTTGAATAGTTCAAGAGATGTAATTTTCTGCTTTCCTATATATTCCAGTCAAGGAGTGTGACATATCAAACGGTTTGTCTTAACGTGACCAATCTGTAGATATGCCTGGTTTTTATGTAAGTCTCTCATATTCCAAGATATGAGACATAGGGGGAAAATGGATTTTAAAGTGGTATCTAGGTTTATTACTCCTCTGGAATGTCTTTGAACTCAGGGAAAGGCTTGGGTTATCCTTTTACAAGGTGCACAGTTTCTTAGACAGCCGGCACCCAGCTCAGAGAGGTTTTATAGCTCGGAGCTCCCTGCTGTGCTTTGGCCTGCCTGTGACACTTCCAACACACACCGACCACATGTCACTGTGGATCTCAGAGAGGGAGGGGGATGAGGAAAGATATATTTGTACAAGATGATGATCCTTTGCCAAGATGGAGGTTGGAGCAAAATGGTTGAACCGCGTCCATCTCTTTGGGTACGATTGCTACAGTGATCAAATACCACCAAAAGAAAGCTTTATTTGTGTGGAAATAATGAAATAAATTGCATTTGGGCACAGTGTTGCATGACCGTGCAGTTGCCAGTTAAAGTAGTACAGTGCTGAATAGCAAAAAAAATGCCCTGATCATGAAAGGGGTAAAACTTTCTGGAAGTCAAGTGGTTAAACTGCCGACATGGAACAAAAATATAAAAAAACAGCATGCTTGACAGTGCAGGA